CAATAACCAGCCTGTTCTGCTAGCATCTATGACAAATACGACATACGCATATACGTTCTCCTATGACACTATTTGTCATAGGAAGATTATTCCTATGACAAATATTGTTGTATGTGTTGTGCGCATCATATGAGTTTAGGAGCGCTATTATGAACGCAAGCAGGGAATTTCAGCTGTAAAGCGGAAGGAAGTTGACTCACCAATATTTGTCATAGGAAAAATCTTCCTATGACAAATAGTGTCATAGAAGAGCGTATATGCGTATGTCATATTTGTCATAGATGCAAGCAGAACATGTTGCAATAACGCTGGGCGACGCGCAATAATCAGAAGAATAATGATGGCGGTTTGATGGCACTTTTTAAATCATTAATTCGTTACTCAACACTGCCAAGGGCCGTAACCGTAAATCACGCTCACACGCAACACGCCGCATACGCTTAATTTACACGCGCTGCGCATGCGTCAGTATGTTCGAGCGAACGACGCGGTCGGTTAATCCCTATAACGTTTTAATTGCTGAGGTAACACTGCGTAATTTTGCAGTATATGCCATTGCAAGCGCCTCGCGAGCGATCTGCGTTCCGATACATGCACTGTGAGCATATACGCTGTCGGATACATGCAGACTCGTTCATCGATAGCCCACGTGAGAACCTATTCGCTCGTTTCCGCCAAATCAAACCGGCTTGTTTCAACGGCAGCTGACAACATTATATTCTATGTCCGGCGTGGTGTACATGACTATAGTTTTGATGAACCGGACTGTCTAGTTGGTGGGTGCTTGCGCCCTACCGGGGCGCCGGTAAATTATAAGGAGATGTAAGGCAGTGATAACACAAAATCGTAGTTAATACCTAATCGGTGGCGACGTTTGAGAACGAGAAAAAAGTTTGCACAACGTGCTGGGGCATACTCGTGGGAAATGATCGAACTGATATACACAGGAAATACAGCGAGCGCACTGTCAGGTGTGATAAATGCATGTTATCGTATAAGCTTGTCGCATTTGTCCTATACTATGTGAGATAGGATGATTTGATAGAACGTCTTCATCAGACGCTAAACGAAGAGTGTTCAACCGAAGACAAAATTTATCCCGAAAATTGCTATCACCCTTACCATGACCTTGAACAACTTCACAATCACATGCAATCAACCGCATCGCCCGCGTACCGACTACAATCGCGTATCACTTTTTTAAACGAAAGTAAATTAAAGGTTTGTATTAATGTCTTCTTGTTACGTGGATGCGATAGACAACTTACTCGGTCAGCGCGTATATGTAGCGATAATAATGCAGCCGCAGCGCTACACCGCGACCACCTAGAGTGCGAGTGAATGCTGCGGCACTTCAGAGAGAAGAATTCCTTATGAATTATCTAGCTCCACACTCCACCCACACCGCGCAGTCACCGTACTCAAACCGTTACATAGCATGCGTAATCTAGTTACTTGAGATGAGTATATCACATAAGTACCTAATATTCTATTTATTCAAATATTCCATTATTTCTATATTCTATACGTATCTGATTTTTCAGCTATGTGCACCTGTGTCGATCGTCACCATGCACATTCGCAGATACACACACACACACACACACACACACACACACACACACACACACACACACACACACACACACACACACACACACAACACACACACACACCCACACACACACACACACACACACACAACATTAGTCATCGGGTGTATTACAAACAATTTCACAAACATCAATCTAAATTCGTGTCAGCATAATCAATAAATTTGTCGCCTATATATCTATCTCTCTATCTCTCTCTCTTTCTATATATACTATAGCAGGACACACGGCGTTGCCCGAGAAATAAAGCGCTCAGTTGGTGACCACTTGGTTGAAAGAAAAATACCCAAAATTCGATCTATCTATCTTTCTATCTATCTAGCTATCTATCCATCCACCATTTTATCTATTACTTATTTATTTATCTATCTATCTATCTATCTATCTACCTACCTACCTACATTCACAAATATGTATTAGATAATATATATATATATATATATATATATATAATATATATATATATATAGATATACATGTATATGTACGCAAATATATTGATTATATTGACATATATAGCAATAGCAAGAATGATACCAATGTGTGCGCCATTATATACAGCAGAAAATGATACCCCATGCACGGTGTGTCATATCTAATTAACTCAATACATTCCGGTTTCTCGCGATGCAAAATCGACATTATTTCGCAGTAGAACGAGAACACGCAGTGTCACTGTTCAGATGTATAGCGGCTTCTTATAAACTCGAAATCCGAATGAAATCGTAAATTACCGTCGACGTAAACAACCGAAGCATTGTCTATAATAGCGAACACGTTCGCGTACCAAATAAATCAATTAAGAAAAGAATATATATATATATATCACCTGCAATGTAAGGTTTAACTAATAATGCTATAGAAACCACCCACGATAAGTCATTGTCCATGCACGGTGAGTCCTGCACTGGCGTAAGATAAGATCATGCATGGCGGTTTCTGCTACACAGCGCAGTAATTATGTATTGTAGCTATTAAATATGAGCTACGTGTAAAAATATGTATGTATTAC